AAGCACTAAGTCCCTCCCCCATCCACCTTTATTCTTTTCTTTACAATAAGGCTTTCAAATAAGTCATGGCTGTACGGCAGTGGAGCATTGGTGCTGAGCACTGATGTCATGCTGTCGTTGATGATGATGATGATGATGATCGATGAAATAATGAGACGAACGCTGGAGGGTCTCCAAAACCCTGGTGTTCAGATGGCCTGTGTCGAAAACCTTGTCCATCTGGAATATGCGGATGACGTTCTGACCTTCGAAGGGGAGTAGAGGTTGCAGGTGTTTTTGGATGAACTGACCAATGTCATCCCGTATTTTGGTATGCACTGTGCATCCGCAAAATGTAAGGTCATGCTCGTGGACATACAGTCACTGAACACGCCACTTACGCTCCAGGGAGAGGCACTGGAAGTTGTGGAGCGTTTTACATACCTTGGAAGCTGTATTAGTTCTGATTGTTGTGCGACAGATGAGGTCAATGCACGAATCTGCAAGGCTCGGGTCGTGTTTGTTAATTTGAGACACCTATGGTGTTAGTCGGTATATCCCTAAATCTCAAGGGACGTGTGTCTCAGGCCACAGTGCGGGCTGTTTTTTGTTTGGTTGTGAGACTTTGTCTGTTCGGGCAGCCAAACTGAGACGTCTTCAAGTGTTCGACAATCGTTGTCTAAAGCTCACTGCTGGTGTGGGTTGGTGTCGGCGAATTCGTCACGAGCAATCAGAGATCGAGTTTTCAGTTGTGCAACAGGAACTTCCATTGTCTAGCGCCAGAAGCTGCGTTGGTTGGTAAGTGTGTTGCGCATGCCTAACCATCGTTTGTCGAAGAGAAACGACTTTCCATGACCAACTCAGATTAGTGGAAAAAGGGAGCTGGCCAATTCTTGACCTGGCTGAGGGGTATGAAGGACGAGAAGTTTGGGTGTTTTTGGTGCCACTCGCCTTCCACGATGGGGACCGCGTGATCCCCACTGCGCCTGGTTCGAGTCGCTGAAAGATATGGCTGCCAACCGATGTCAGTGGCGTTCTGGTTGCCAGTTTCTATCCAGATTGCCTGAGTGAATGACTGGAGGTGTAGGCACCTCGGAATAATTGTAGGGAGCTAACACTAACTCCCTTCCCCGCCCACCCCTATTCTTTTCTTCACATGAAGGATTTCAAATAAATCATGGTTGTACGACAATGAGGCATCGGTATTGAGCACTTATGTCATGCTGTAGATGAATGATGATGATGATGATGAGTATTGTTATGAGAGATTCAGTGCGCATTTATGTTCCCCAGACCGGCTAGTAGCTTATGCAAGCAGCCACCCATAGGGAGTCGTCATCTCTATTAATGAACGACGAGCCTGTCTGAATTAGCAGTATCGTTGTTTATACTCATCCCTAATCCCGCTCTCCTTAGGATCATTGAATGTCCAGCCAATAGTACGGTGATCCAGTTTGTTGCAGTTATACGGCGTCATGATGTTGAAAAAGCGATATTTCCCCTTCTAATCATCGACCAAAGTCATTTTGGTGTTTCTTATTCTTAGTTGACATTACAATGCTCCTTCTGGATTTCATTCCACCGACCACTCGATCCTAGACTATGCCCGCATGTCGAATGACGTAGGGTCCTTTGGCGAATGCTCTATTTTCCTAGCTCTGTTTGAACTCTGATGATAGCCTAAATTTCATTTTTTGGGGTCAGCGTTATCAACGCCAAATCGTTATGGTGTCGAGGAAGGTATGTCAGGGGCCTCATTGGGGTTCAGCATCCAGTTTTCCTGTGCAAGTAGTTAATTTTACGGTATAATGTGACCGGCGTAACTGAGTAGATAACCCTTCCTCCTATCTTTTCCTCAACAGAAAATTTGTCGACGACCAAGATGAACTGTGCGCCTGTTTACCTTCGGAATCCTTTCCGGGCCAACATGTCCCTTCCTGGCATATCGATCATCCACCCAATCCTAGCGGTCTTTTGCTCCCTAAAGGGATGTCCGATAGCTCACCGTCGCTAGCTATTGGCGCTGGTCCGTCACGGCCTTCTAGCTCTTCCTGTGCAGCAAGCCCCCGCTGCAATGCTTCATCCGTCGGCGCTTCAAACTCCCGACAGGCAGAACTTTCCCGAAGCGGACACAGTTTGGGTCATTCCAGTGCTGAAACACCCTGTATGGCTGTGGATTCTCCTGCTTCTCCTCAGATTACGAACCATTGCCTTATTGGGAACTCAATACTTGACCGGTACTGCTGTGGTTTGGCATTGCAGGCTACCTCAGAGTCAATCGACAGTTTCAAGGAACGACTATGTAAGCACTTGAATCAGTGGTTGGAACTTGGTCCGTTGGTCCTTTGTGGTGTGATTAGGTCGGCCAGAAAGTCCCAAGCAAAACGCTCATCGGATGCATCAAAATTCCTTTCGACACAGCAAGGCAGAGCCACTCAGTGGTGTGCATCAAGTTTACTTGTCAATACGGATAGCAAAACGGTGGAGGTAAGCGAAAAATTTTGCATTCCCTTTCCCCCCACCCCAGCGTGAGCACTTATCGTACCGTGACTTCCCAACCCAGTTGGAAATAAGAACCTATTTCATTGCTCCTTGTTTATTCTAGTAATCTGTTTGAAATGAGCTTGTAAGGAACAGGAGTCATTTGGGAACACGCCGGTTGATTCAAAGCCATTCAGTTCATCACCCGCAAAGCGTCTCTGTAGCTCAACGATATCGAGTTCATTTGATGGGAGGCTTCGGAAACTCGACGGATACGATGATTTAGTAATCTGTTTGAAATGAGCTTGTAAGGAACAGGAGTCATTTGGGAACACGCCGGTTGATTCAAAGCCATTCAGTTCATCACCCGCAAAGCGTCTCTGTAGCTCAACGATATCGAGTTCATTTGATGGGAGGCTTCGGAAACTCGACGGATACGATGATTGCAGTGAGGCACCGAAAGTGTGCTACAGCTAAACTAATGGTCTTCATCGCTTGTTCTTGCTAAATCATGTAGCTGTATTGTGTCGGTTTTCCTGACGTTGTGCCGCGCGAGGTGTGTTTTTCTTGGTTTGAGCTGTGATCAGGTCGGTCGGATTTTTGGGGCGACTTATTCTCAAGCCTTTGTCAAGCGGTTTGGCAGTTCGCGTTGTCTGATCGAAGTCCAGGTGCTATGGTCAACATTCTGTTGCGTAGACAGCTTTTGATAAAAAGGAGCGGTACAATGCATTCTATCAATAGTTTCGGGTACTCGTTGGATTCACTTTTCTCACCTTTATCCCACTTTCGAATTGACAGTTTTCTACCGTTGAGTTTGACTACAGGCGACATCAAATGTCAGCTGTGTGACCTCTCAGATAGTTTGTTCTTATCTCCAACTTATGTTTACTCCTTTGAAACCATTGTTTCTGTTTATAAAAAAAATTGATCCACTTTTGCCTACATGACTTCTCATGGAATATTCTTTCGATTTTATGTTTTATCAGATCCTGACTCTTCACCGCCCTTCGGAGGATCTGGCAGGACCACTCATGCCTATCTCTCATGCACAACCTCGAGCTGTCAGGCACAGTTTTTCTCAGCCAGGTAGTCGTTGGACTAGTCGGGAATCATCCTGTCCGAAAACGCCCCCTGATGATGCTGATTACCCGCCGTCTAAGCCAATCACTCCTTCACCGATGGTCATGCATATGCTAGAACGAGTTCTACAAGTATCTGAACGAACTCTATGTCCTTCTCTCGCCCTACGCGACTTAGAGGGCGCGCTTTACCTTATCTATTCAAGGAGTCGCGTTCTTGCTGATCTTATAACCAAACTGGGTCCTTCTGTGCTTCAAAAAACCGACTGGGCGGCAAATGCGATTGGGTGAGCGCTTTATCTTTTTTCCAAAGAGTGCCACCTTTTTGTGTGAGGTGTATCAATTTCACTCGTCTTCATTAGTGAGTGTTGAAACCGCGATCTTTCGCTCCACGTTTTGCATCCACGTAAACGTTAACGAACTCGCAGGTGTCAGTGTCAGTTGGCACGATTCTGAGTTGAATTTCTGGATAACTGACGATAAACACACCCTGTCTTCTAAGAGGGCGAAGTTAACCAGAATACGCATCAGTGCTTTGATATCAACGGTCGTCGCTTTGAAAAATCTGGGCAGACGGACTTGCTAATGGAGACGATCTCCTCTCGAATAGTACATTTTAAATAGACTTATTTGACTAGATTAAGGTATGATCGCATGCCAAAAAATCCTGTACTGTACGAAGTGCACCAGTCCCCGAAAAAAATCATGTAAGCTTTCACTGCAGATATGCACATCAGAATGGACTGCTCATTCCTACGAGACTTGAACATATGTCCTGTTATTAATTCTACTTTTCTACCTCACTGATAGTTTACAGCCAGACAGCCTTGAAACATACCAGAGCACATCGATCCTGTGTTTCGGCTAGTCGTCCAAAAACCGATTCCCAAACGCATTCTCGTCTTTCCGCCCGATCCAACTTTATATTTAAGGTAGACATCAAACCGATGAAATGCAATATCCTTTCACTTGTACTATCAGGAGTGAAATTCCGTGTGCAGGTATCCGAACCGCTACTGAAACGATCGGCTTACGATTGAGTACGTAATAATTCTGTGGATACAGACGCTTCAGTGAACGATTGCTCACTGCACATAGCCTGGAAGCATTAAATATTGGACGGGCAACTTGAGTGTTTGACCAAGGTACTGAAGATCTATCGATTCAATTAGATCATAAGGTTGACGGAAACTCGGGGACTGTGCCTACCTGATGAGCCCCAAGAAGGGCGAAACCTGTCGTGGGCTGTCGAAGAGTTTTCAGCAACCTTGTGAGTAGTTTCCTTTATGAAAATCTATCGTCTCAGTTCAACGCTGGTACTGATCATTGTATCCGGGCTCGGCTCTTGCTATTACTCAGAGGTTCACCGAGTATTGTGTTTGGACGTTGGGTTCGTTTTGAATTACCTCGTGTTTGCTAGGTCCCTTGATGCGACATTACTTCAAGTGGGAAGGGGATGGCGAGATGGCCCAAGTGGTTAGAGTGCGAATTTACCGACCGTAAGGTCCGTGGTTCGAATCCGACCTCCGCCACTCGACTTTCCCTGTCTAGGCTTGGGCAACCTGGCAGTATCCTAGCCCTCGTGCTTCCTTCGGGTGGCATGGCAGCTAGGCACAGGAAGGATGCTACAGCTGAACGCTCAAGTGGGAAGGTTCAACTCGATGACAAGACAAAATCACGTGTAATCTAGGTTGGGACAATGGGTCGATGCATTTCTAGACAGTTTGCTGTTAACCCAGCCCGGAAAGAAATTGTGAGTAGTTTCCTTTATGAAAATCTATCGTCTCAGTTCAACGCTGGTACTGATCATTGTATCCGGGCTCGGCTCTTGCTATTACTCAGAGGTTCACCGAGTATTGTGTTTGGACGTTGGGTTCGTTTTGAATTACCTCGTGTTTGCTAGGTCCCTTGATGCGACATTACTTCAAGTGGGAAGCACGGACCTTCCGGTCAGTAAATCCGCGCTCTAAACATTTGGGCCATCTCGCCCCCTTAACCCAGCCCAAAGATTGTGGGCTTGACAAGGCGTGAAATAGCAAGTTATGTTAAATGACGTGATACGTGTTCCAATCTCCCTAGAAATGTGAATACAAATGCGCATTCCTGGCGCGTAGTGTAGGCTCTAGTGTCGCTGCAGTTGTGGTTGTGTGAAGGGACAGGCGAAGGCGGTTGTGCTGCTTACAGTCTGTGGTGTAAGATTTTGTTATCGTTTTTAGCTCTTAATTCACTTGTTGTTCAGTTTATGGAAGATGCTAAGCTCATCAAATCGAGCGAAAGCAAAATGAAGCACCCGAAACATGGATTTACCGTAGAAAGTGATTTTATTGTCATTGTGTCACAACTTCAGCTTCGTGATTTATTTGCAGAGATTTATTGTTATCGAAAAACCATAGCACCAAATTAATAAGAAATCGTATCATCCGTATTATTGCTTCTATGTTCGGCATGTTACTGTGCATTAAGAGCATTCAGTTCCCAATTTTTGTGACCGTACGCAAAAGCTCAGGCATGGGCTAATTCCAACCGAGTTTACCAAAAGTGGTGATATTTTTTTCCATCCCTTTGTTAAATCGCATTAAGCGGGGCATTTCGCGCACCGACTAACATGGATCGCTGCTCCAATGTTAGGGTTTTGTCCGGGTTGATCCACTTCGTCTTTACTCTTGGTTTTTCAGACCCATAGCCACTGTTGGGAAGCTAAACTAGCTGACTTGTGCGAAAATACAACGTGTCATCGTGACTATGGCAATAGAAAAGATGCCATTGTTTGATATTCCACCCGAAATGGCTCAAGTGGTTAGAGTACGAATTTACTTACCAGAAGGTCCGTGGTTCGAACCATACCTCTACCTCTCGGCTTCTCTGTCTGGGCTTGGGCAACCTGGAAGTATCCCAGCCCTCGTGCTCCCTTCTGATGGCATGGCAGCTAGGCAACGGATGGTTCAGCTACAGCTGAGCGCTCTTATTCCACCCTTTATCCACTGATTGCTCCTCACTATCGTTTGCTCAACTGATATGGCTTGTTTGTGTGGACGTTAGTCACTGAAACGGATTGTGTTCGAATCTGTAATCGTTCACTTTTTACTGGGGTGATAATATTATCGACAGAGCAGCTCACTTCTCAATAAAAATTGCTGTCATTCGGTTCCGGGTTGGAACAACCCGACAAAATGAGGTGATATGTCGATCTGATAAGTTGGAAAATTGGTCTGTTTCGGTCTACTCGAACCATTTCAGTTGTCTGGGAAATAAGGGTTCCATGGTAGGTACTTTTCCTACGGAGTCTAAAGGGGGCATCGCTATGTGTACACCACGCAAAGGAAGCTGAAGAAGTCGAAATCACATGCCGTTTTTCTCTTTCAGATGCTCTCCGCATGATATTCCGCTGTTGCTTGCCACGGCTTCTTCTTACTGCCTACCAGCTGCTATCATACTTCATGATCACTATTCGGACTGGTGGATCGGTTAATCCTTCACACAGTAGTCAAACATCCTTTGCTTATTATTATTCGTCTTTCACTTGTGCTGTGGATCTTTTTCCAGACGGTATGCGTGATTTGCGCGCCGGTATTGACCGTGATTTTGCTGTACTCCGAACTTTCCTGTCCCCCCCCCACATTCAATGGTGATGACCATCTCAAACTGTTCACCACCAAAGCCCTTGCTTATTACTCGCTCTCCACCACCAAACTCTCGGGAGTTTTCACTACCACCACCACCTCATTCGACATTACTAATCGATACATTGTCTCTACAACTGTGAATGCCTCATGTACAGATCCCGTGCTACAATATCTATCCAGATTATTCTACGTATTTTTTCGTATTCTCTGTATGTCGTGTTTGGGTATCACCTTGGTCTTGGTTATAATTTGCAGTTTGCTCAACTTTTTCTACGATGTATGTTATTGGGTTTTGCTCTTATTTTACTTTATATTGTTCCTTTCATCACTCACCTACCACCCTTTCTGTGTTTTAAACATCCTGCTCTTAGCAATGAGTATCTCCGTTTTTTGTGTGTGAATGTTCGATTTGAGCTATTCCTTCAACGGAACCCTTCGATTAAACCTAACGATTATGCCTTTCCGGGAGATGTGAGACTCATTTCGGTTGGGTTTCTTGGTGTGATCCGCTTTTCCGTCGGACGGTGTACCAGAATTCTGGGTTGGGCATCATGCTTGAGGCTTGCTGGTGATACACACTTAGCAAAGCTCTTTCTGAGGCCATTGTGAGACGATCGAAGAACACCATAAATGAGAGATCCAGCTGGGTCTTCCAAAGTAATTTGCAAATGAATGTAGTTCGTTAGTTGCGTGAAATTGGGTAGCACACAAGACAGATGGAAACTCGAGGGTTGCACCTACCCTATAAGTCCTAAGCAAGGCAAAACTGGTAGTGGACTTTCGAAGAGGTTGCAGCAACCTTATGACTATGATAATGTGTAAGGCAGTGAATTCTTCCTAGTAGCTATTGGCTAACAGGATCCTCTTCAGCAAATGCTTGCTCGGTAGTTGATCGGTTGCACAGACTATCTCTGTTAAAACAATGAGAGCATGGAAGGCAACAGCTTACACACATGCTCGCAACTGGGCCATGTTTTACAGTGTCCATAAGCATTGATGTTCTATCCAGATAGATGGCAATGACCAGCGCAGCTGACTTTGCCCATAATCGGTTTCGTTCTTCGAGTAAAAGGGTGGCTAGCACACGTAGTGTTACGACGGACACCACTTCCTTCCGGATGTCAGGTGTATAGTATGTCAAGGAAGGTTGAACTGCTATTTGTCTTACCCTTTCGGAATGCAGACAATTGGGGTGAATATCAAAAAGTAACATGAAATGCTTATTAGGGGTAAATACCGTCAATTCATCGCATCTACAGTGATCTACACTTGTAACAGTTGAGTTTTCATCTTTGCTAGAAAGACGTCGTCCAGGATTGGACTTAGTGCACACCGTTTACTCCCCTGCAGATAGCCCACAATGACAAGATATTTAGGTAAAAACAATCGGAATGCCCAAGGAGATATTAGTTGGAATGATATGGTCAGCTGTTTTACATAGTAGGCAGCAATCAAGGTCAATGTGGGGTTTCTTCGAGCGGTTCACTACTAGGTCATCAAGTACCTGGTGTCGTTCGAAGGAAGCCCTCAAGCAATGTGGGACTGACTTTTTCGGATGGGAGCCAGGGGGTCGATCGAGATTACCTGCGATAGAAGCAATTTGGCGCTTTTAAAAATAGTCTCAGTAGTGCTCCGGGTTTGTGTAACTTCGAAAAACTGTTCAT